AACGAGGTGAACGGTCAGGAGACTTGGCGAGATTTTCCTTCGCTACACTTTGACACTCCCCTGGTCACCGAGACTGCATTCAGCGATGACAGCGCGAGCGGCAATCTCTTCTTCATGCCATATCAATTACAGCGAGACGTGCCTGGTAAACCGAAAGAAAGGGATCCGGTCTCTTGCTTAATGGTAAGGCTTGTTAATGAGGAAAGAAAGTTGTTTGAGAGGATAGGGTTTGTCGAGGCTAGCTCGCATCAAGGCAGAGACCAGTTGCTGGTGGAGTTGGACGAAGAAACAAAAGCTCGTCTGCCTTGTCTCCGCTACGAGAACGGGCTCCATACGATCCGGATCATCTAGAACGCCGTCTAGCCCTAGCCAAGGCTATCAAATAATCCTTCCAGACATCCTCCTCTTTCCGCATAAAGAAATCCAGATCCCGAGGTCCCTTTCTAGATCTCGATAGCCCGCCTCTGACGAGCACTTGGCCCAAACCGTGCTGATGTTCAGGGTTCAGTCAGGGTCTGGAGCGCTAGAAGGCGGGATAAGTGGGGCGGCTGCGCCTCGGCCACTCCCAATCATCTGGGCACGCGACAGCCACGGCACGCACTGTCAGCCGGTGACGTAGCGCGAGCTTGTTGTATATCACGATGCCAGCCTCCCCGCGGATGCAAGTCCGATGCGCCAAAACATCACTCGAATTTCATAGTTTGTCGATCAAATTCTACCTAACCAATCACATCAACCATGGCCACTAGCAACCAGTCGGCACAATTCCAGGGTGTGTTTATCCAGTCTTGCGCTATTCTTCAACGGTCTCGTTGCTATTAGTTTGGCGATGAACAAGCGCGTATACCTATGTATGCTAACAACTTGTAGAGCCTCCTACGGATGGGCTTCCAGGGGCTACCAGCACCACCTCCCCTTCTGTCGACAGCACCGCACCCTCGCATGACAACATCGACCTTCAATTCCAAGGTTCGTGTCTCTCTACTCCATCATCCTGTTCGATTATATGGCCTACTAGGCCCACTCGTGTAGACACTCAACACACAAGCTAACACGTTCCTACAGAGCCAATTGCTCCAGAGACATCGACGTCCACCTCTACATCCACTGACGACAATGATAACTCGCTCCACAAGACCACGACCGACAAACTCAAAGACGCAGTGAAGAAGCCGTTTGGCAGTTCAGACGAATCCTCCGACCCGCACACGCTAGGCAAGAAGGAGATTACCAGTCCCGAGATGGCAGCTGCGAATGAGGTGCTTGCAGCCAAGGATCTCAAGTCGCCGTAAGGATGTAATGGCGGAGGCAAATGGAAAGAAACTAAGTCGGGCAAGTCAAATTGGTACCTGAAGATTATGAACGCCTTTGCAGAAGAAGTGATGGTGCTGCAGGGGCAGTAGACATCCTGTGTCCACGAGATGAATGCGCAACGGAGTTAAGGTACTTCATGACCTGGTTGGCAATAACCACTTAATAGCAAACTTCTATTACGTCAAATTTCCCCAGCACCCTTTAATGACATATATAAAGGTCTCATAGACCACATCTCGCATTTCATAACGCGAAGCAGTTGCATATGCGGACACGGGTACGTAGAATAACGACGTGTATTCGAAGTCAAAGTGGGTATGTACGAAGACGCAAACGTGTCTCGACCCTTCATCTTCCTCTTCACCAAAAACTTTCTACCCATCTTCTGAAATCCCTACCCATAGAACGAAGAACGAAAAATTGAACACCATCCTGATGCTAAAAAGAAGGACGCCCCACTTCTCAGACAGCGGGATTTTCGTGCAATACGGTCTGATCGAGATTCAGGTCACACTCATGTGGATGCTGAAGACAGTACTTGGGCATCAGCGGACTAGCCTGTACACCGGTCGCAACAAGGTACTCCCTGAAGTTGAGAATACGCTGCGTCAGTTCTGTGGTCCTCTTGTTGCCATTGTCATCCCTGTTTCCACTCCAGACAAGTTCGGCAAGCGCAGCAGCGCGCGGCCACATCTTCTGAGAAATGACGACTGAGTCGACTTGCTCGGACCAGAGAGGCGCGATGGCGCCTTGTACAAGCGCCTTTTGGGTGTCTGTGAGGTTGAGAGTGAAGTCATAGTCGTAGATGCGCTGCCATGTCTTGTATGGTGCGCACCAGGAGCCACCGCCGCCGCCCCAGTTGAAGTTCGCTGAACCGTCTGTCGCATTGGGGTTGACCATGACATTGTACCTCTGGTCGTTGCCGACCCAGCCTCCGTATCCACAGTCCAGGTACATGAAATCGGAGCTGGAAACAATGACGCGGTAGCCCTGTCCGGTAAGATTGCTGATGTGGTCGAGACCGTTGTTCCAAGCTTGTAGGACGACGTCTTTGGGTACGACACCTGTAGCGGCCACGTCAGCGGAAAGCTTGACGTCTTCCCACATGACGAAAGTCTTGTTGGCTTGTGCACGAAAGTTGGGGATTGCGCGATCAACCCAGACTTGGTAGAGGTCGCCCATTGATTTGCCGCTGTTGAAGAATGCGAGGGCTGCAGTGGAGAAGTTGTTGCAGTTTGCAAAGAGCTCGTCACCACCAATGTGGAACCAGTTGTCTGGGAAGACCTGTGTCATTTCCTTGTACACTTTGGCTGTCACCTCGTAGGTCTTGTTGTTGAGGATATCAAGTTGACCTGGGTTGGGCTCTACGCCTGTGTGGAGTGCGTAGTTGTCGTTCGACCACCAACTGTGTTGACTGCAGATTTAGGGATACGAAGTCAGTATATGTCTCACATGCACTTCGTACAGTCAGAACTTACCAGGTCAGTAGAGACTCGTCGATTTGCGCCCAGCCAGAGCTGGCGTGTCCTGGCATATCAATTTCCGGAATGATGCGTACGCCGCGTGCGGATGCATAGGCGATGACTTCCTTCAGCATATCTTGGGTGAAGACTTCATTGGCTGAATAGGCGTCCTCGGTCATCTCAGGATACGCATTGATCTCCACGGCCCAGGACTGCGAGTCGATGAGATGCCAGTGCAGAACATTGAGCTTCGAAAGAGCCATTCCGTCGATTTGCTCAAAGATTTTGGCCTTGGTAATGAAGTTGCGGCCTGTATCGATCATGATACCGCGCACCGGATAGAGTGGCGCATCCTTGACAGCGACGGGTTGTTCGATGATCATCTTACCTGAGCCATCGTTGATCACAATTTGCTGGAGCGTTGTGAGAGCGTGGAGGGCGCCGTAGACAGTTCCAGCGGTGATATCGACAGTATCCGAGCCAGCTACGACATCGAGCGTGTAGGATTCATCAACACCATGTTGAAGCTCAGCGTGGGCATTGGTGACGTCAATTTTGACCTTGGTGATACTGCCTGTGCAATTTCCTGGTGGTGCACTGTACTGCCTCTTGCGCTTTCTTGAGGCAGCGGTTGGGGTTGGAAAAGGCTGAAACGATGTGACCGATGCTTCGGTGGCTTGCGGAATCCACTTCAGCTCCGCGATGGTCTTAGTAACGCGGTCGAACGCAGCGGAGAGCACCTCATGGTCCGGCGCATCGAGAGCGACAGATCCGAAAGAGAAGCAGCCAGAGTCGCCCCAGGTAATGTTTGTGGGTTTCGGGAGAGGGTTTGCGGCGACAGCTTCAGCTTGTCTGGCGAACAAGGCTGAGGCTGTGACCACGGAGGCCAAGATGAAATCGCGCATGGTTATTCAGCTGTCAGGATGCTACTTTGTAATGAGAGTGGGAGCAACGACTGCGGGAAGTGAGTGGGTTCTTATGTTGTTGTTATAAATGGCCAACAACCATGAGTGGTGACGACGAACAGCGTTGACGGTGTACTCCGAAGTAAATTCACAACGTGAGGGAGGGAAGGAGGATGTCTATCAATTTCGCATTGAGTAATTCAGCTTTGCCATCCTGGTTAGGCTATTCGCATCCCAAGCTCACAGATCAGCGACTGGGCGGTGCACTAACCGGGAAGTGCCCCTTAGCTGATATATCAGGGCCAGTTAGTTGCTCAGCCTTGCTGCATATGCGAGCTCTCGACAGCCTCTGCTGCAACCCATTCCCGCTCTCACCAGACCGCGCCGCCCCCGCGCTCGCATCCGTACCGCATTTCTCTTGTGGCTGCTGCCGTGTTGCAACGTACCCCACCTGCTTTGCTCATCCTTGGGAGCATATACGAAGTGTGCGCCCCCAGGTTCGATACTACGTTCTGTGTCCACGCCTTGGAATATAGCCATGGTAACCCTGCACGCTGACAACCTGCACCGAGTGCTGGGGTTGGCGTGACGGCCCCCGAGCAGGAGGCTAGAGTAAAAGTGGGTTCCCCACCACCCGACCGCGAATGGAGCTCTCGGAATCCGCGCTAAAACAAACGGCTGGTACCCCAACATGCTTGCCTCGTGTTACCATGACCTGCTCTTTCTGTTGCGACAAATTTGGCTTGACATTCCGGGGTGAGTGTGCATGTGGGAAGTCTGGTGTAACAGTCTCATATACGAGTGCAGTGGTGGTCATGGTTGTCGTGAGGAATGCAGCGACGACTTGGAAGGGTGGCGCTTCGGAGGTTTTGGTGGATCCGCGAACGCGTGGCGCCGTCCTTCTTCCTTCGGAGCTGCGAGCCTGTGCGGGCTGATGCATGAGGCACAGCAATCGGCTGTCGACATGTCTTATCACTCAATCTGCGTTGTTGGTGCGTGGAGACAATGTGGTCACTTGTCTAAGCCTGTAGTCATGGGCTGTTTCAGTGTACCAATCATGACGCTTTTATTTCTAGCAATCAAATAAGCTTCAGCTTGCGCCCTGATGCGACAGCCACGGCTGGCGGCACTGCTACCGTCTCCTCCAAGATGACGCTACCATACCTATCCGCCATACCATTGCATAACTGTGCACCGTTTGCTCACCAGTTTCAGATTTTCCTCGGCATAGGCTGGCGAACACTACAATCGGGCCGTACGCGAGAGCCAAATGTAAGACAACATGCAGGTACACGGGTTTGCTGATGTTGATGGCTGGCTATTTCTCATGTGAAGGTGCACCAGGAGCAGGAGTAGAACCAGAACCAGACGCAGGCGCAGACGCAGCCTCACCTACCGGCGCAACACTACCAGACCCAGTCACAACCTCGTGATGAAGCTCGCTTTTGATCTTAGTCCAGTCCGGTGCTGCCACACTGAGCAACTTGCAAACGTCCTTCCGCCTCTTTCTGAAATCCTCATATAAGCCCTTCCATATCCGTCTCTCAGCGCAGGTTCCCTCGGGGCTGCCCCCACAATCGGGCTGCATCTCCTCTAACGCCTGTTCTGACCACATGACTGATGGGGGAGGCAGCGGCAGGTCGCTGAACTGGATGATCTTCCCCTCCTTGTAGACCTTCTCAGCGTCCCATGGCTCATCAGCGCTGCCCAGATACTCGGAATGATTGTGGCGCCTGAACTCTGCCGTACGAAGGGCGTAAGGTCGATGTGGAAGTACTAGCGCGCTCTCCTCAAAGCGTTCGTTGAGGATCTCCATGTCATATCTGTGCATTTCGACCAACATGCTATCACCACCCCCTTCCATGCGGTTCTTGAACTTCGCAAGCTCGTCGAGGCTAGGCTTGACTACCATGAGCGTCGTCGACAATGGCCACGGTTTGCTATCCGTCCAGTATGCCCGTGCCATCGCTATCGGCGTCTGAGGGAGGAGGAAGAGCTCATCGAGAGCGTCGAGGAGCGTGATCTGCGACTCCAAAGCGATTACGCGGTCGTAGTACTCTAGGCCAAAGGCCATGAGCTTCGTGACGGTCTTGTCCCATACCCAGTCACCTGAGAACAGTCAGCCATGTGCTTGTAGAGTCTCGCTTCATGTGCCGGGCGAATGGGCACTTGCGCAACGCATACCTTCTGTACGGCCTGCTACCTCAAGCAGCCTGATAGGATGAAGCTTTGCCTTGTATACATCGCGCGCTAAGTTGAGTAGTTGACTGTCTCGGTCCTGAGCGCTGTCTACTTTTGTGTCCCAAAACTCCGGGTAGAAGAGGACGCGGTCTGCCTTGCTACCGAATCGAGCGAGCGCGTCCAGGACCATCACGGCGTGGCATAGTTGGGTGCTGTCGGTCGCGTACACGCTGTACGCATAATTCGACCAATTGACCCTGATAGTATCTCCAGTATGAGGTGTCGTCTTGCGCGATGGATAGAGGATCCAGCAGATAAGGAAGAAGCCGAGGAAGTAGTACGCGTGGCGGCGTCGCAGGCGGAACGAGGGAGATTTAGCTTCGTCTACGAACCGCGGCAGCTCATCTGATCGTCGCCGACGCATTGTACGGTTGGCGTTGACGTTCGACCGACATGTTCGAGCGATTGTGTTGGTTGTTCAGGTGTCAGGAAGCGACTGGTGACGCGGAATCGCGGAAGTGTAGTGCGGAACTCCGAACTTCCAGGCTGCGACGCATTACGGCCTTGCATTGACAACTTTATATACTAGAGTGCGCACTATGTCCCTCTAGGTGTAGAAATTAACGACGGGTATCTTTCAGAAAGGGAGGAACATGGCATATGTGTAAGATCTGTCAAAGGATTATCACAACACGCATGAGACCGTTTTGATTCGGCAAGATGCATTGTATCATTGCCGTATGCCAGGGTCACTTTTTGTAGTATGGTATCAAACATCCCAAACGCCGCGGCTGTGCAAACTCCACCGGTCCCGGGACGGGTAACTCTGGGTGGGAGACGTTGTCCTCATTCAGCTATGTAGCACCCTCTATGGCATATATCGTTCCATCGTGATCGTGAACACTTCTTGGTGCAAACGCTTACTCCTCAGGAACTGCGCTCTGTTAGTGATTGATTTTCGCAAATTGCCAAGTATAACATACTCTCAATCTCGCCAGCCTTGATGTCATCAGAGACATCCTTGGGGCTGCGACCGTCAACCTTGCAGCCGGTGCTGAAGGCAGTTCCGAGGATCTCAAGAACGGTACCCTGGAGGGACTTGGCCATCGACTTGAAGCGCATGGTGCGGGCAATGCTGATGATCTCATCGAGGGGGACGCTCTTGGTGTGCTTGATGTTCTTCTCCTTCTTGCGGTCCCGGGGAGGCTCCTTGAGGGCCTTGATGACGAGGGAGGAAGCGGAGGGAACGACGGAAACGGCGGCTTGACGGTTTTGGATGGTCAACTTGACGGTGACACGGAGACCCTTCCAGTCACCTGTGGCCTTGGCGATATCTTCACCGACCTCTGCAGAACGAATTAGTATTTCCATCCATATGCGCTGGTCGATGGGTTCGTGGCGTACTCTTAGGCGAGAGACCGAGGGGACCGATCTTGGGGGCGAGCGCGGATGAGGCACCGACTTCACCACCGGTCGCACGGAGGTGAATGACCTTCACCTCGGAGGGATCGAACTTGGGAGCTTTGAGGATGTAAGCGCATGGCGATTTCTAGGAAAGCCTGGCTGTTGAAGATGATTGAATTCTCTGAGTGTCAAGAAACACCCTCCATTGGGTGTCCTAGCCACTCAGAAACTTCGCGCATCTTCGTAAGAGCCGACCAGAAGGATGATACTCACGCATGGCTAGTGCTTGAGGTAGTCAATCGGTTCTGGTTGTAAAGAGAGACTGCCGTTAATTTTGTCGGTTCGAAAGTTCGTGAGAAACGGATTCTCGGTGGGGAGCAATATTGGTCGACCTGTGAGAGAAGCGAGCCTTGGCAGCACCTTCCCCAATGGGCGATAGCATCTTTGCGTGCATCTCGGGCATCTCGGGCAACGCCGCATTGCTTCACATCATATTCCACCACTACGTGAGTTGGTCTTCCAAATGCATGGAGAGAAAATCCCTATGTCAATATATGATCGCTCTCTTGCTTCAACATCACACGTCCAAAATAGTGACCAACACGCTTCACACAACGCCATCCACGATGCCAGAACAATGTGACAATGTGAAGATGCCCTCATCATGATTATATTCTGCAGTGACAAGACCTTCTTCTGATACAGGTCGTTCATGTTCCTCAACCCCTTCATATACCAAACGTCCACCAGCCAGCAGCACGAGCACAGCCGACAGCAGCACGACAGCACAAACACCATGTACTTCACCTGATTGGCAATCAGTATGCACGAATACAAGACCTGGTATCATATTTCCTTTCAAATAACAATAGTCTTCTTACTTCCTCGCAACTGTATCTATATCTAATTTCCACGGGAACGATAGCACAACACAGCAAACCATGGTCATACAACCTCCCTACAGAAACATACACAGACGCTGCGAGAAAGCAATTCGAATGACGGATCAGGTCGACTTCCTTGTATGTGTGATTCAAAATGACTTTATACCTCGTGGAAACATTCTAAACACCGTGGAATAGAATCGAGCTGAAAACGACAAGGGCACTTCGAAGAAGAAGGATGACGAAACACCAGCGCCTGAATGTATTCAGGGAGAGTCAAAACCCGACGCTACCAAGTCTTCGCCTGATGTCGATACCATAACCCTTAAATGGCCTCTACCCCCGTCCGCCATACACGACGGTCTCTTATTCAGGAAAGTTGGATAACACAATGGGACATGCTGAGTTGCCTTGATACACTGTTTTTATTTCGTTTCTCGCACGCGCAAGCATGCGACTTCTATAAGCCTATGAGGGTCCCGATTGAGGGAAATGTGTGCCATAAGAAAGGCTGGCGATATTGACTCTATGACCACCTGAAATGACAACTCGCTGGTAACGCCCATCAATATCACAGAGCCAATAGTTATGTCCGAAATACCTCGGTAGTGATTTTCTCCAGAGCGTAATTCTTTCTCCAACAAAACATCACGCACCTCGTCCTCTGGAGATGCCCAGTCCCTGAGCTGCGGGAGCATTCTTTTCCCTCTCACTCACGCTGCTCCTTCTCCCAGCGATAGCCGACACACTTTCGCTCCTTGAACTATCCATGCTCTGCCTCATGCTACTGGAGCTAGACCTGCGCCTAGCACGTCTCGCCTCGTCGGGATCATGGGGATTCAGCCCGCTTGCTCTTGCGAACAAATTCAGGATATCCGTGAGACTGATGACGCCACTTAGTCTGCCAGATAAGCTAGCCCCTGGCATAGCAGAGATTGCTGATGCAGAGATAGCTGGGGCAACCGCTCCGGTACTAGCGAGGTGGGTCGGCGCAGTGGAATTGACGGGTGTTGGGCCTGCCATCCCTGGTAGTGGTGTGATTGGCGAAGGAGGAACAACAATCGCAGGTGTTATCGCTGGAGTCGATGGCCCTGATGAGGCCGGAGACGGCGCATCCACGACCCACATGCGATGCGAGCGGGTTGCGACTAGCTTGGCCACAGTGTGTGCGAGGGTACTGAATGGGTTGACGTGGAACACGGGGAAGGAGTCCTTGCCGTCATTCACTCCCCGTTCGGACAAGATGACAGATATGAAGTGAATACAGGATGAGCGAAGCAGTGGGAGCGATGTGGATTTGGTCAAGAGCTATGAGCCAGCCGTTAGTCGCGTAATATGAAACTGACCAGAGGAGACTTACCCGAACATCCACATGGGATATGTTGCCGATAACGTTGTTTTGCGCGTCCAAGACTGGGAGTGACGACACGCCTTCGTTGTTCATGAGCTCCAGAGCCGCTGCAAGAGGCTTATCTCCACTAACATCCAGTCAGCTGTGTGATTTCTGCGAACCCGCGCTGTACTCACTTGATGGCTAGAACGGTCTTGGATCCAAGATTCAGGTCTTTGATCAGCTGTGGGTACAGCTGGTTTACGCCTGGGAAGCTCGATCGGTTCTCCCAGAAGAATTGCACCAGTCTTAGCTGGGTAAGTATGCCCTTGACGTTCGATGTGCCTTCTTCTGCGACCAACACTCTATGTACGCCGCTTCCGAAGACTTCTATGGCCTTGGACAGATCCGTTGTCTCGTCGAGAGTAATCAACGGCTCCTTCCTGCCACCAACCTCTTTTACGTCTTTGAGCGGTATGGGTTTTCCTTCTCTTCCTTTCTGCGCAAGCTCGTCGAACGAGGCGATGTCGCCTTCTTCGGGGTGCGCGAGGCCGACTACGAGGAGGAGGTACGCGTTCAGGTCGCTGTAATCGAAGGTCCCGGTCGCATGCCGTGTGTTGGCGTCTTCGCGCAGGAGGACGACATTAGGGGCGCCATGTTTGACTAGTATCTATGCAAATCAGCCCATGCGCATGAAGATAGCTGTATATAACCCACGCTCGTCGCATCCTCAACGCTGGTATCGTACTCGACGAACCTCACCAGGTCAGGATCGACAATCTCTCCCAGTCTGACAGTCTTCCAATCGCGTCCCTGGAACTTTGGATCACCACCCTTGGTTGGTGGGTTGTTGAGGAGGTCCTGTAGCGCTTGCTGTGTCAGTGAAGGCTGCCGTGACGCGCGTGGTGATGTGGGCGTTCCTCGCATGTGCTCCGCGAAGCTCGAACGGTGGGACGATGCCGGGCTGGGGCTGGAGCCCAGTTTGAGCGCAGTCGGAGGTGTGCGGCCGATGGAAGATACGGAGCTGTTAAGGGACGTGTCCTTGACGTCAATAGCCTCCGTGGTGTCGTGGTCTGCCATGGTGACGGCGGCTATGTTTTGGCGTATGCGGGGCTCCACACAAAGTGTTTGTCGGAACGCGCGGGTGCGGAGGTACTTGTATGCGCGTGATGGCTAGATGCTCTGAATGGTCCTGTCGCAAGAAGATGAGCAGTCGCGCGTCTTGCAGCTTCAAGTTGGGCTGAGTGGTGTTTGCGGCATGTGAAGTGCAACGAGGTGGGAGGGCTTGCCTGCAGCTGCAGAGCCCAGAAGATCGTCTCCTGCCTGGCCAGGGCACTTGGGCCGCAAGCTGCAGCCAAAATGCGGGGTGTGATTCGCTGCATACCATTACTATCAACCGTGTCGCCCAAGATTGCGCATCGACTGACACAGCCTTGCGGGGTTACAGACGCGTCCGCGAGTGACGGCGGCGGACGGGCGCTCCAAGCCATTCAATCGCGTGCGCGACGTCATACTGAAGTATAGAGAAACCGGGGAAGCACGCCAATCGCGCAAGGGGTCCAAGGCTCTAAG